TCAAAAACGAACGCGTACCAGATGCAAAAGACGCATGTATACGCGTGATATGGTGCCTTTTGGGGACATGATCACGMGGGGGCATTTTTCACTCGTAAAATCAATGTCACGCATATACACGGCCGATTTTCAATCAATCGTTATATGTTATAAGATATAAGCGTGTATATGAGCAATTGTCACGTATATATGGGCAAATACCACGTATACGTGAAAAAAGACGCATGGACGCATGGGTGGCCGAGCGGTGAGAGCGCTGGCCTGTCACCTCTGTGGACCCTGTTCGAATCTCGGTTCGAATCTAGGTTCGAATCTCGGTTCGAATCTCGGTCGGGGCGCCATATGTGATTTGAGTTTCTTTCGTTCTCTCCCTTGCGTCGAGGGTTTTTCCGGGTCTTTCCGGGTTTTCCTCCCTCAGTAAAAACGAACCATTTCTATCTGCTGTGCATGCTCCGCGTTCAGTCGTTCGTTGCTATGTAAAGGAAGCGCCTAGCCGGCAGCACGCCTATGTGTAAGTGTCTGTAAAATGTGTCTGTAATATAGCACCTCGACTTGAGAGCGCGACGAGCTGCGTCTTTCGCAATTCAGCACCCATGCTGCCATGAAGGACGATTAGCACCCAACACCCAACACCCAGCATGTATATGCGTTACAATGTTTGTACGTAATCAAAAACCCACCTACAGCAGTAGTAAGAGCAGAGCTTCTCGACCCCCGAAAATAGGTGGTAGGTGGTAGGTGGGTATGCTAATGAAGTCAAAAGTGATAGGGGAGGGGTGGTCAAAACGAGTAGGTGGTAGGCGGGTATGCTAATGAAGTCAAAAGTGATGGGGGAGGGGTGGTCAAAACGAGTAGGAGGTATAAATTATTTTAGTAGGTGGGTATGCTAATGAGGCAAAAGTGATGGGGGAGGTATAAATTATCATAAAATTGTGGGCAACTTTTGTGTTGGTAAATTGTGGGCCATCTAATTATGCTGTGTTGGTAAATCGAGGAGGTTAATTATCATAAATTGTGGGAATCATATACCATGAAATGACTATTGTTTCTGAACAAATGGCTGCCTGAACCTCCCTGACATCGACCTGACAGCGACCTGACATCGACCTGACATCGATCCTACATCGACCTGACATCGATCTGACATCGACCCTACATCGACCTGACATCGACCTGACATCGACCCTACATCGACCTCACATCGACCCTACATCGACCTCACATCGACCCTACATCGACCCTACATCGACCTCACATCGACCTCACATCGACCCTACATCGACCTCACATCGACCCTACATCGACCCTACATCGACCTCACATCGACNCATCTTGACTAAATGCGCGGGAAATCAAAGATCACGTGCCCCTTTCACCGCGTGCATTTGGACCAATTGCAGCCTGAGCACTAGTTCAAAAACGAACGCGTACCAGATGCAAAAGACGCATGTATACGCGTGATATGGTGCCTTTTGGGGACATGATCACGCGGGGGCATTTTTCACTCGTAAAATCAATGTCACGCATATACACGGCCGATTTTCAATCAATCGTTATATGCTATAAGATATAAGCGTGTATATGAGCAATTGTCACGTATATATGGGCAAATACCACGTATACGTGAAAAAAGACGCATGTATATGCGTTACAATGTTTGTACGTAATCAAAAACCCACCTACAGCAGGACCCAATTTTGAAACGAATGGACAGCCATAGTCTGGAAGTTATATGTTTACAACATAAACTTGTCAGCTTTGCGCTTATTGGCTTGTCGCTTATTGCTTGTCTCAAATCACCCAGTRACAGCTCGGGAGCTTCTGGTTCGTCTTCAACTACAKCAGCCCAAATAGAAAGCAACGAGACCAAAGATCACAAGAAGAGTGAACGAGAACTTCATGGTTTTCAGCARTACGAAAAATTACTTGACTGAATTCAAAGTTAAACTACTTGTTYTTTAATACCCATAATACTTCACTATGACGATGCATGTGGTTGTTAGGACGCTGTTACGGCGCATTGAGTAAAGGCCGTTTACACGAAGTTTCTTGTCAAGGAAAAAATGTCTGTGTGAATGCTCAATAAGTTTTCTTCGACAATTCCTCCTTGACAAGTTTTCTTTGCTCGTGTAAATGAAGAACAAGTTTTCTTTGACAAGGAAAAATTGCCCGTGTGAATGATCAACACGTTTTCCTTGACAATTTTTTTTCAACATGTTGGCTTTTCCTTGACAAGGAAAAATTGTCAATTTTACCCCACTTACACGAGCAACTTTTCCTTGTCAAGGAAAACTTGCCAAGGAAAAATTGCCCGTGTAAACGGCGCTTAATTAAGACATTTAGCGAAAGGCACCCGATGTGAAGGGCCCCTTATCTTCAAACTATTCTGATTCACTAGATTAAATCTAACTAGACGATCAGCGATCGTTTACATGGGCTTCCTGTGGTATCACAATCAGCAAACGAAGAAGTCAATGACAATAGTTATTTTGGTAATCGA